TTCACTCAAACTGCACTGACATGTTTAAACTTTTAAATCAGCTGTTGAGGCAGAAAGCACAGCATTTCGGTTTAAAGCTAACCCACAACGTGGGTGTATTTATCAAAGGAGTTGTGCAGGTGAAAGCCATACTGAGGTTATGTAATGTTGAGAGTTGGATAAATGACTTAAAACCATCAAGTCTGTCTAGCCCACAGCAAACACTTCTGACACGGAGGAGCAGTAAGAGAAAAGCTGCTTAATCACAAAAAAATGAGTTGGAAAGTGTGATTAGGTGACGGGTGGCTGCTGGCACGCTAGAGTGACTTAAGACCCTGTCAGTGAATGCAGGGAGGTCTGGATAATCTTTCCTCCACAAAGGTGCGTGGGGCTAATCCAAGCCGCTGTGCTGAGCCGTGGATCAAGTCCTACAGGGAGTGTGGGAAGGCCAGCGGGACAGCCCCTGCTTCGGCCCTCTTGGTGGCCAGAGCTCATTTATGCTGAGGTACACTGCAGCAGCAGGCTGGTCTAAGTCTTCCACAAACCTTTGCATTATTAGTGTCAGTTGTTGAGGGCTGTTACGTTATTGAATGTGATGCAATTTCAGTATGATTTGTTTAAAAAAGAAATCCATGTAGACTATATCGCTGCCGGAGTCATCACTAAATTTTAACAGAACCAACTCGGAGGTGGAGACAAGTCTCTCTGCGTTTATTAGAAATTATATGAAAGACTAAATGAGAGAATCTTGTCAACGTGCTAAATACTTATTTAAATACTTAAGTTGAAGTCATTTATTTATTGTGTTGTTTTCTATGCCAAACAGAAAGTCACAAATGATATATACTTTGGCGCACCAGCACCGACATACAAAGTCAATTCACACAACTTTTCAAAACAAGTACAGATGTGCATATTATGATGGGAATATCTATACATTAATAGATCAGTATATATTTTTTAATGGTGACGTTAAAACCACTTTTAAATGTCACATGATCATCTCTCTTTTGTGTTATTTATCTTGATTATTAAAGGTGTGTTATTTAAAAGGTAGAAATGTTGAGACTGAATTCTTGTGATAAAATATGAAACACGTTTAAACTGAGGGGCAACAACGTGATGAAACCATGTAGAATGAAATGGTCACCAAACACTGAAATAAGTGAGTGAACTTGGTAAACTTGGCAAAGGTAAAATAGAACAAGGCAAAGAGGAATACAGCTTATTTTTCTCAACCATAAAATTCAAAATGAGGAAAAAAAAGATGAAGACTGCCCTAATTTTCTACTGATGTCAATTCCAAAATATTTAAACTTGTTAAAGGTAAAAAATGGGCCGAAGAATTATGTAATATTCATTTTAAATGGATGTTAAACCCCACACAAATTATTTTACAATTCTTAAAAGCTTGTAAAGGAACTGGAATAGCAAATTAAATGTATAGTATCTCCTTTATGAAGATAAACATCTCTGTACCTGTACTTTTCTTGATACAATATTTGTTTGGAGCAAACATGTTATAAGTTCTAATTGCTTGATCTTTACAAAATTATCAGTGAAAACAACAGATTGTCAGCCTGTTTGAAGATCCTTACACCTCTAAAATAATCAGTTCATTTTCAAACCTCATATTACACACAAAAGACAGAGTCACGAATCATGTTTCATACAAATTTATTCAGCATTTAAGAATAGAGGATGGTCTTAAAATATGTAGAAACGTCAGTTTAAATAAACATTTTCGTTCATGATAATGAGTAAACATGACACTGTCAAAACCATCACAGAAAATAACATTTTACAAAAACAAAATTTTAACATTTTTCACATGACAAAATATCGGGTTCACAAGCTAAAAAGAAAAAAAAACCTTACTATAAATAAAACTTGCGTTTGCGACCCGCACAGTCTTAACAATTTCATTTGAACCTATAGGTCAAGAGGGGGGAGAAAACAAAAAGAGACTACAAAATTTGGACACAGTGGAGACAACTGACATTCTACAAATTAAGTGTAAACATTTATGAACCAACTTTCCATCCAGCTTCTCCGAAATACACCAGCCTCTCTTAATGAGGCCACATGCCTTTTCATAGAGAGAAAATGTGGCATTAATTAAAATATAGAAGTCCAATTCTTCTACATAGGTTGATTGCTTATACTTGTGATAAAAAGCCTCTTTGCAACGCAATTTACTCTGGTGGGCTCAACGCTCAGTTTCGGTCCATTTCAAAAGCATTTAAAAATGGACAACTCAAGAGACAAAATTCTTTTTGAACAAAACTGTTGAACGTTGTTTCTTTAGCAACCAAAAAGTTCAAGTATCCGAAGTACTTTATTTTTTTATTTTGTTTTAAAGTCTTTTCTTTCTGTCGCTCTCAGATGTGGGTGAGAGGTAGCGTCCCATTGACGCCAGTCCCAGCGGTCTGATAGTGCGGATGGACGCTGTGTAACCGGCTGCTCTGCAGGGAGGAATGCTCCGCGCTTTCTCCGCCGGGAGGCAGGTACATGCTTATCATATCCCTCAGGTCCCCCAAACACGCCCGCTGAGAGTGGGACGTGATGGCCGGCGGCGGTGAGCTCGGCTCGGTCTTGCACACGGACGCCATGGAGCTCAGTCCCATGGCGCTGCTGGTCTGCTGCGTGTACGCCGGAGACATGCTGTATGTGGACGCCGCGTTCATGTAGGTCTGCGCCGAGGACATCATCGGGTACTGAAGCCCCGCCATCTCGTACCGGTGCATCTGCTGAATCTGGGGGCTGTTCATGCTGTGATGCTGAGGGTAGGCCAACTGGTCCTGCATGAGGGAGTACGCGCTGTTCGTCCACCCGTTCATGTGCGCGTAACCGTCCATCCGCTGCCCCACCGACACGGAGTTGTTGACGGCGTTGGCTCCTGGCGCCAACAGTCCCCCGGGCAAAGAATACTTGTCTTTCTTGAGCAAGGTCTTGGTCTTCCTGCGGGGACGGTATTTATAATCCGGATGCTCCTTCATGTGCATGGCGCGCAGACGCTTGGCCTCGTCGATGAATGGCCTCTTCTCAGCGTCGGTCAGGAGTTTCCAGTCGGCACCAAGCCTCTTGCTGATTTCAGAGTTGTGCATTTTGGGATTCTCTTGAGCCATCTTCCTCCGCTGTCCCCGGGACCAGACCATGAAGGCGTTCATCGGCCGCTTCACCCGCTCCTGGTCGTTGGCACTGTTGTTTTTAGCGCCCTGCGCTGAGCCCGAGTTGGACTGCGGGAGCGGGGTCTTGAGCTCGGTTTCCATCATGTTATACATTCTGGCGGCTTTTTAGTGTTCACTCACAGGCACAAAAAATAAATAAAAAGTTCACAAAACAGCGCCAAAAAAGTCAAAGAGGTAGAAGTACTGACCAGTCACATAAGACGATGGAAAAAAGTTGTGTCCAAAGAGGCAAGTGTGTCTGCAGGTGCTTCTGGTTTCTCTCCGCTCAAAGCTGCTGCGTCCCGCACGGCTCTCAAACAGAAGTCTGCAAAGTTGTTCGCCAAGCTCATGTGTTAATAGGCCTAGTGGCCGGACCATGTGATGTGGATTGACAGCATGACAATGAGGGACAGGCGACCAATCGGAGCGCGGCTCCCCATATCCACCGCGTAACCAACCGGTGCACGCAGCACCGTGTTTTGGTCAGAGGAGGAGGGAGAGGTAAAGTTTTAAAACAGCAGCACAGATCAACAACCTGAGCGCAAAGTGCTGTAGATTTACAACCTCTATAATGAAAATGAGAAGTTAAGGGGGAAAAGCCTGCCGGTTTGTTTTGTTATAGAACGCGTGTTTTCGGATCAAATGAGATCCAAAAGAGGATATTTCTTTATGTGCAAAAAGTTATCAATACACATAGGCCTATGTGCTAAAACGAAAATGGCCTACGTATGCAGAAGACTATATATATATGCTGCAGCGAATCAAACCTCTTAAGGGATCAATGTCAATAAATGAATAACAGAGACGAATCCCAACAGGCCAAAACGCACCGAAATGAGTCCAAATACTTCAAATATAAAGTAGAATATTGACATAAAATGCGCCCTTGGCAGAGAAAAAAATCCTTTCATCTGCACCTGCTGTCAAACACGCTTTGTTGCTTTAATCACGTTTTAACTAAAATATTGCCAGCATCAAAAAACCCTCAGTCTTATTTTAGGGATTTCGGAGCTGTCAAAACTCTCAATAGACTGATATGTTGGGTTTGTTTTGTTTTTTTAACAGATGGCTTCAAACATGTTTCATTAGAACTGTTTTGAGCACCTGCTCCAAAATGTTTTCTCTTCAGTCTTCTTCAACGCGGGATGATTTTCATTTAAACCATTA